ATTGATAACTTTAGTAATCGTTAAAATATTTAGTGCCCACTAATTGAGCGTTTGCGTTTTGCCGTATACCTTTTTATTAGAAAAAACCTAATTCATCCCTTGTTTATCAAAATTTTAACTAAGGCCTCATTTATAGTAAATGTGTTATGTTCAAGCGTTGCGTCAGCGTTATTACAAAACTAAGCCAATATTTAGGTATTAATTTATAAATATGAATGATAAAATTTGAAAAAAATATGTTGCGATGGGTTGATAAAAAATATCGAATACGATTATAAAGGTAATGGCATTGGCGTACGCAGCGCTAAAAAATGCAGATGCCGGATTATTGTTAATATTATTTAATATTTATTCCTATCTCATATATATCTATATATTTAATTACATTTATTTATCACATTCATCTACTAAGTTATTTTATCAATTAATTTCGATTTCAAGTTTTCCTTGGCGTAATTTACCTATTATTTTCAAATTTTAGTGGCGTAACATTTATCTATTTCTAGTCAAATAATAATTATCTCTGAAATTCCTTGTCCAACAGGGAGAAAGACTGCAAGCTTGTCCAACGAGATCGAGTCTCCGCCATCAAGCAGTAACAGCTTTTATGGAGTTAGAAGAGCCTATTATTAATGCTATTACTGAAATATCACAATGGCTTGAAAGAAATATTTTCTCAGAAGCAGGAAAATTATTGGATTCAATACTTATTTCATATTTTTTTTCTCATTAGAATGTATTATTGAATTATACAACTATTTTATGTAATACTTTTCAAAAACATAACATTGACTTGATTAAGAAGATGAGAATAGCGGAGAGCATTTTATTAGAACTTAAGGAAATTAGAGCTAATGTTTATAAAGAATTTCATATTTTATATGTTATTGCTGAGTCAAAAGCAGAGCTATACGTGTTTAATATTTGTCCCCCTCGACTTGCAGCAAGCAAGCTCATCGTCAAAACATTAATATAGGATCAGTAGAAGAGTATTATAAAACAAATGTCTCCTCTCCCAACCTTTTTCATATGGTGATAGAAAAAAAATATAAATACAGTCCCAAAAAATGCTATGGATGCTTGCATTATTTCAAACACATTTTAGATTATACTCCCAATGTATTAAAATGGTTATATATATATATTAGCAGCTCTTTAGTAAATTAATGAGAGAACATTCTCTTTTTTAAGAAGAATAACAGAGCATTGCAGAGGTACCATTTGCAGGACACGGCCCAGATTTTTTTAAAAAAAATTTTCAGGCCCGGCCCGGCTTTTTTGAAAATAAATTATATTTATTTTTGATTTTTATAGCTAATAATGGCGATTTCAAATATTTGGTTATAAAATATACAGCTTGGCCCTTATATTTTTTCTAAAAAAATTTTCAGGCCCACATCGGGTGTTTTTTTTAAAAAAAATTACGGGCCCGGCCCGGGTTTATTTAAAAAATTAAAATACGGTCCGGCTCGGGGGCCGGGCCTGCAAGTCTGCGAAAAACATACCTATGAAATACAACATCTGAAAGTAGATTGAATGATTTGGATATTTTGAATATTCATAGGCATTTAACGCCAAGCAAGGATAGATAATTGAAAAATTAGCTCAAAACACACAAAATACAATTATTCCTAAGATACTTTTTGTGTTATAATTTATATTTCCAACATTTAAATTTTTTATACTTTATATATTTTTAAAAGCTCAAAAAATTCAAGTTTCAATTTTGGGTCATTTAAGTGATTCATATCGTAGGTTATATTCACTTTATATTTTATAATTTACATTTATTTTATAGTTTTTCAATGCCGGTTTATATATATAATTTTTTTAATTCACATTAGTTTAAAATGTGTATTATTAGTCCTAATAAATTTATGCTTAGTGTTTTTAATTAACAATAATATTTCTTAAAAATTTTATTATCCCCCACCCCCGACCAAATTCCTGCGTACGCGCCTGGGTAATAGTGAATACGATAAAAAGGTGTATGATTTTTCTTAAATATTATATAATTAATTATCCCTATTTTAGCTATATCTTAAATTAGTTTTAAAACTGAATCAGCTGTAATAACGCTGCTTTAAATAACACAACGCTTGAAGATAATGCTTTTACTATAAACGCAGCGTAAGTTATGTAAAGAGAATTTGTTTTTTTATGCCTTCTTATTTCATTAATTTCTATTCCATTTTAACCCTTTTCACCTCTCTTTAAATTAATATGATGCAACACAATATTTAATGAAAAAAACACAAAATGGACGATGCATCAAGTGGATCCATTTTACACTATTGTCACCTTATGGAAATTCGCTACAATATCTAATTTCATTTAAACATAATTGTACGATTTGCGATTCAGAATATATTATCCTTAGCAGATATATTCTCATGAAGCTTCTATAGGTCATAATTGAAATATAATTATCAAGGAACTGAAGCTTAGAGCTCCGATAATTGCTGTAATTGGCCATCTCTTCTTAACACTTAAAGAGTTCAATAGTGTCCAATGATAGGAATGGGCTGATATTTATTTAATCTATTCGCCATCCAAATTTGTAATTAATGAAAGAATAACTATAAAAGATTGGGTTATAAAATTGTTATAGATATCGGATATAATGAATTCGTTTTTAATTCATATCCAGATTCACTGGATACGAATTTAGCAGACCAAATTCAAGTAATTTAATGTATTCTGGATCCTAAATAGATTACCAAAATTGCTTATCACGTGGTCTCCAGCTGATTTGCATTTAACTAAGCTTTAAAATGTATTATTATGTATGAATCGTCAATTGTGATTGTGAAGAATAGTGTATTTCTTAAAATTAAATTTTTTTTTATATGATATTTTCATTTTTAATGTAATTACTAATTATTGATAAATATTTATTTATATATCAAAGATGAAAACATTTATTATTTTCTATTTGCATTACACGATTTAATCTTATTTCTAACGAAAATATATCTATTATTATTGTATAATAATTTAAAGAAAACAATTAATAGAAAATTAAGCATAATCGTAGCCAGGATTTTGCTAAAGAACTATTGGGTGTTTTTCATATTTTTAATAAGATACTTTTAACTGTATTTAAGGTAAATTAAGAATCTGTCTGTATCTAAATTCTTTTTTTAAGGAACCTGCCCAACTCGACTTTTTATAATAAAATATATTTGAAATTTAATGAAATCTTCCAAGGCGAAGAATCAAAATAAAAGATTCAAAAAGCCTTAAACGCCCCCCCCCCTCCATGCAATGTCTCCTACTTCAACGATGACTTGGGAGAGACTTGTCTATCTATATACAGATACCACATTTTTGTATCTAGATGCCTTCTAAGTTGCCTTTTATCGGATTATTAAAACTTTAAATACAAATCAGTATATAATGAAACAAAAGCATTTTAATAATTAATATAATACATGTGATATTAACCTGGGGAGGGGGCAGTAGGTAAGGAATCCATAAAGCTTGCTGTAAATTTTAGCTGTCAATTTAGATAGTTAGAACTGGTTAACTTAGGTATTACGATTCCTTCTCGGAATTCTCAGTCTTAATTAAGATGCAAGTTTCCCAAGATTTTTTATAAGAATGTATCACAAATGGAATAAAAAAATTTCCCGGGAAGATATACAGTTTCTAATAAATTTCAATATTTAAAAAAAAAAAATTGTTGAAATACCAAACTAAATATTCTATCCATTAATATTTGAAAATATCTATATCTGAATTTATTTATATTAATTGCATAATGCTCCAAAAAAATTAATTTTTGCATAAAATATTATTCTATTCTAATAGTGCTTCTAAATTGAGAGTTTACGATACATGTTGCGGATTTAAAAGAAATTTAAGGAAAAAAAAACTTACGACAGCCTTATTTGAATTGAGGCGATTTTTTTAAAGATACGTTTCTTTGGCGTAACGATTTAATTAGCGACAATTTAAACGATTATCATTTGTAATGAGTTATTAACGTAATCGTCTAAATTTCAAGTGGGAAAGTATTGTGAGGCTAGCAAGGTTCCTTTTAAATTTTAAAATTTCTAAATTTAATTTTTTATTTTTTGTTTGATCAATTGTTTCTCTATATGAATAAATATTACTAATATAATATATTATAAAAGAAAAGTCATGCATATAACTATTTTTTTTCTAAGGCAAAATTATAGGCGACAAATATTAAAATATTTAGGAGAAAAATAAAGGCTAAAGTAAAATAGTAATCAGAAACTAGGAAGGAGAAGGAAAGAAAGTATAAGGAGACTTGGAAGATTATTCGATATGAAGGGAAAAAACTTAGTTAGTTAGAACTGCTTAAATTTGGAAGAAACTAATATAAATTAAAACGCCTTAATTTCTCCGGCAAGCGCCTGAAAATTGAACCGAAATGACTTAACGAATAATCGCGAATAAATTTAAGAAATTGGAAAATTTTAAATATATAATTTACCTAATGTAAAATATATTTAACTCACGTACTAACATATAACTAAATGGTCTTTAATTATATTATGACTTATCCTTAGACGTTTTTTTTTAATTGAACCTATAAATCGGATATAATATTTTATCGCTAGCAATGATATATGACTCTAATGTACTAATTTCTACACACATCATTTTTTATATTAATGTGTATTTACTAATTGAGCGCTAAATTAAATATACTAATAAAATATTTTTTTCTGTCAATTCGAGAAACTGTAGACATAATGTGGCGAAAAAAAGAAGGGAGGGGGTAATATAGGGTTAAACCTCAAACAAATCAAAATTTGAACTGTATTAAATATATAAATTTTTATTCTAGTTTCCTAAAAAAGGTGGAAAATGTATTTTTTTTCAGTTACATATATAATTGTCTATCATGTCTTTTTATTTTATTTTATATTTTTTTTAGGATTAGTTCTTAAATAATTGAATTCTCATAGCTATCGTTTATTTATAACTTAAGATATATAATTTATCAAAAAAAAATTATTTACTAGCCACGGAGAAGATATAATAGTTACACCATTTGCTCAAATTTTAGCCACATTACAGAATATTCGAAATAACTTTACAATGCTGAACAAACTATCGAAAGACAAGTAATAGTAAAAAAAAATATTTTATAAATTATATAATTTTAATTTAAAAAAAAATTATTTTTAGCAATTCGATAAATATATTAACCCTTTAATATTCTAGTGTGTGGATAGAAGCTACACCAAAGTTTAAACAAAGCAAAAATATATTTATTTAATATGATTATAATCTTAAGATTGATTGAATTTTACCTAAATTAGGTGCTAAATAGGGAACAAAGTTAAATTAATCCCTACAAATGTTTAAAAAAATTGGGGTTCTTTAGCACCTAATTTCGATAAAATACAATTAGATAAGTTAAGGCCTTAGATGTTACCAACGGGCAAGTGGCTATCTTATACATATATGTACACACTTACTAACTCTTTAGCCCATGTCAATTCTTAGTAACTTATTTTTGGATAAATATATCTAATCATGGCCATCTCATATTATATATAATAACTCTTAGAGGTCTGTACGGGTTCTTAGCAAAAAAATTTGGGAGCTACGGGCCAGGCTGGATAACTTGTGTTTAGAACACGATTATTATGAATAAGAATTGAAGATGACCAATTAATTTATTAAAATAATATAAATCATTTTAAAATAACATAAATAATACTAAAACGTAAAATTATAAATCAAAAATGTGAAGTAAAAATTTCTCTTTTCTTTTTCTTGAATTATTACATTTTCGATCTCACTATTTATACTAGTACTAAAATTTACGTACCATCAATAATTATTTCATATAATTGTCATTTTATTTGCTTGCAATTTAAACCTTTCAATTACTTTTACAATTCAAACATTTCAATTATCCTTATAAATTTTATATTCAAACTAACTGTTTTATAAATAACTTTTCTTTTTCAATACACGTATTTGACACCCCTTCCCTTAAATCGCCTAAATCCATTCTGAACAGCCGATAAAAGATTTTTAAGACATTGAGCTGTCTCAATCTTTTGTGAAGGCAACTCCTAAATACTTCTTTTGTCCCATAATGTCTACGATAACGATCTCTTATGACGATAACGCTCTCGTAACGATACCGACCTCTTGTCATGATAAAAACAGTACCAATCTCTTGTAACAAATACAATTTGTAAAGATAACGATTTCTTGTAATAAAGATCTCTTATACGATACCCACTTTTTGTATCTTAACGAACCTCTTGTAACGATAACGATTTTTTGTAATTCTAACTATAGCTACTAAAATTTGCTCTTCCGTTTCTTCTATGACCCTTTGCCTGGATATTGATACGATTGTTTCTTTATCTTGATTGATCTTATTCTTTGTCTTAAAGGCTATGGTCATTTCATAAATCCCCTCTCCCCCTTTTTTTTAGAATCTCCTATTTTGGGTTAATAAGACTGAAGTTTTAGGTCCATAACACATAAACAAGGTATCAATTGTTTAGAAACACAAGTGATTATTATGAACAAGAATCACTTATTAAAAACACGCCCCATGCTTTGCATCATTGCCTTCCCATATCAGGCCTTAGCCCATACAAAGCTTTGATAAAATATCTTTATAAATGATAGTTTACTATTATATATATTTTTTATAATACATTAATTAAAAATAATACTCCGAAATATCAACCCAGGTTATGTTTATAAAATAAAATTAAACTTTGGCAAACAAATTAAATTATAACCTTTATATTTTTTGACCTTTCTAAAATTTATAAAATATTATGTTTTGTAGGGTTCAAAATATAATTATACATGCACATTTAAATGTAACAAAAAATATTAGAATTGAATGGTAGGAATATTTTTTTGCCATTTCACTCTTTTCAAAGCATAAGAAGTGAGAGCTATTAAAATGATCTTAAATGGTTTATTTCTTGGATATAAATGCAAAAGATATCTTAAAATTTAGACCATTTACTGCCGGTCAATTTTACCCGTAGAAATTTTCGGTCCCGGGGTAGGCATAAATCTATTTTATTAAAAAAAATGTTTTATTTATTCCTTTTGTATTTTTTTTTTGTAAAATGATTGATTTATTGTTTTATTATCATTGTTTCTTTGTCAATTTTTTATGTGTATATCATATTATTCCATCTTTAGATATTAAAATGTGACGTCATTACCATTTGCCTTTTTATATTATATAAATTCAGTACATTTACCTGGGATTAGTTTAGTTACCCCTTTAAGTTGGGTATAATTTACTCTAATTTTTTTTTATGTAATTACACTTATCAAATTTGGGCTGTTAATAATTCGGGCAACTCCCTAATTTGACCACAAAATTTTGTTTTCCAATAAAATTCCTCTTAATTTCTAAAAGTCTTGATAAATTGGGTAACTGTCTAAGTTAAGCAGACATTTTTAGCCGCAACGGTGATCAAATTAGACAGGATTTGCTGTACTATTATTATTAATTTTTTTTATAAAATATTATCTTTATTATTTTATAAATATTAAATGATAAATAGAAATACTTACTTATATACTATACATTTATTTTATAATCAAAACCTAAATTTCGAATCCATAATTAAAAATGTTATATATATTTTATGAAATCCTAGATCCAAAAATGCCTCAAAAGATTCGCAAATTCCTCATATAAACTCAGGTATAAATCATTTTAAATATCGATACAAACTTTTTGTTGTAATATTTTTTTCTCCGTGGTGGTCAAGGAGTTTTCAGATTTTGGATATCTAAGCATCTCATAGATGCTAGATATTTTGCCTAATGTAGATGAAAATTTTTTTAATCCAAAATAAATAAAGATAGGATAAGGAAATATAAATAAGGAAAGAAGGAATGAATAAAGGATATAAAAAAGACAAAAAAATATCATCGGATTTTTTTGTAAACAAGTAGAGGTCTTTCAGATGGCAACATTTTAAGGTCCGGCCGGTACCCGGCCCGGTTTATACCAATTATGATGAGAATTTAGGTACAGGGGCCTGGCATAGCAGATCTCTATAAACAAGTGGTTATAATAGCAGAACAGGTTTATAATAATGGCTTAATATTTTAACTGACACTATATTTTGTTTAAAGTCAAAATCTTGATATTTTATATACCTTTAAAAAAAAAATTTCTTTTAAAAATTGCTGCTTGAAAATTAATTTTTTTATACGAACTCGGCTGGGGTTTAAAAAGTTTTTTTAAAACAAAATCTGGCCCGGCCCGGTTTCCGCACCGGTCTAGAATTTAAATCTGGGGGCCTAACAATTTGAACTCTGCAAGATCCTCCACTATTATTATTTTTACATAAAAACGAAAGTCAAGTTTTTGACTTCAATAATTAAAGTAGTTAATATTTAATTCTTACTTTTTAAACTTTTAATTTCTACTTCTAGTGGAGTTACATTATTTATTATAATACAAGTAAATACTTTGATCCAGGGACGAGGACCCGAACCATCAATATTTTGCTGAAACTAAACCCTTTTTTAAAATTTAGGATTCAGGGTTCAAGCTTCTTCTTTTCTTTTTTTTTATTTTAAACTTTCATTTTATTTATTTAAAATTATATGCTAAAAATAATTTAATATAAAAAACATGTAATTTACGATTTTTATATATAAAAGATTTCCTATTTGAAAAAGAGTTCTTATTTAAAACAATTGTTTTTTTTATTTTCGGTCATGGGTTACTTTATTTGAATATTTACTGATATGATATGTTGTCAAAATGTAGTAGCAAATAATAAATTTTTTAAAAGGTAAAATAAATAAAGGTGAAAAATGTAGAATTAGAATTTACGGGAAAGGATAGGGGATAAAAAAAAGGAAGCTAGGAATATGGAAGGAGATAAAACTTAGATAGTTAGAGCGAATAATGGCGGTAGCAAGTCTTTGGCGTAAGAAGAGGGATTCCTTTGGCTGAGCGGTTTTTTCGCGAATCCGTTTGCCTAATTCTTTGAAAAAAAGGTTGAGCTTAAAACATTAATTTAAAAAAACAACATTTTTTGATCATTCTTTCGTGGAATCATTCTTGTTATATTTTAGAGTTCGTATAAATTTTTAAATTTAGCCCAACAAAGCCGATTTAAAAGTTTTTTTTTTTATAAATGTTGAAATTATATATTAATATCTATCTTAGGATATTGTTGTTTGTGGATTATTAAATAAGACAAAGAGAAGTACAAAATCAAGAATATATTATTATTATGATGATAAATTATTTTTATGGCAATACTAATTAAAATAAATTTTTTTTTAAAAATGATGTTTTTGTTTTAACTAATTTTAATAAGTCATTATTTACTGGTCTCTCGGGTTCCAAGATTTTTCACTAAACCCAAACCCATTTTTTTAGAAAAAGGGTTCTCGTCCCTGCTTTGATCTGGTAAACGGAGATAAAATTTTATAAAATAACATCTTTATTTATAAAAATGTATTAATTTTATATTTAAAAAAAACAATCTTTATTTTTTATTTCTCAATTATAAATTAAAAAGGCTAATAATGATGAAAATGTTTTGCGGGAAAATTTTAAAAATTGCTGGAGATTTTTCAATGGCAGGAGTGTGATCTCTGCATGTTGACTAAAAAATTGCGAGAGTCTCCCGCTGATGGGGGTAGACCTCCTGATTAATGTATTTGATAAAGATTTACCTTAACAAAGCCAATCTATTCTTTATAAAGATACCAATAATATTTAAAAAAAATCTGGAATGTAAAAAAACCATATTTTTTTTTAAACAGGAAAATAAATATTAATTTTTAATGAAATTTTAAAACATTCACAAATTAAATTTATGAAATTAATTTTCACATTATTTTTTTTAAAATTATTCTCCATCCATTCATAATTTGTAAAGACTATAAATTATCAAAATTTTTGAATGTATATTATATGAAATCTCAAAATTATGAATGTTTCTTTAACTATAACTTTGATAATATGAAGAAAATTAAAAGTCTAATTTAATAATATGGGGAAAAATAATAACACTAATTAACATCACTGGGTACCAAAAATATAAATATAAAATTTTTATAGCGATAAAAAATGCTATAACATTGTAATAAAATAATTCGTTTGTATTTTTTTTCCCCGATAGACGATTTTTTATGCCTAATTAAACATATAAATAGAATCTTAAAATATGAATATACATCGCAATTGAAAACTCATTACTAGTGTTGTTAAATGACGAGTTTAAAAAAACGGCTAACTCGATATTTTAGCTAGAAAAATATTGCCTACTAAGCATAGAACTTTCATTAATAGATTTCCAAACCTTTGTGCCTCTGAATAAAATATTGAATGAGCCACTTTAAAATCGACTCAAATCGTTAACAACACTACTTATGGCCTGATAAAGCGCGAACCATATTTGCCGTGATCAGGGTGTCGAATTAACACGTATACAAAGGTTCAGTTCCATTTCGCTTTTTAGCTTAAAATTTTAAAATGGTTTAGTTCTATTTCAGTTATTTTTAAACCAATGTATATCGATTCGTTTCGGATTACAAATACGTTTCGGTTCTTTCCCGTTATAGGTTTTAGATTTTTTTTAAAAATTAATCATCATATATATGTGTGTTAGCGTCAATGTGTTTTTTCTGGTATTTCAACTTTAAATCATTTTTTGAGCGCGTTTTTTGTAAATTTAAAGATCTGATTTTACCGGAAATGTATTCCAGCATGTCTAGAATCCTATCTTGTGAATTAAGAAAATTTAGCCGTTAATCTTTGAGTCATTATAGAAAAACGAATATAAATTATATTAGGTTCAAAAGTTCACGGAAAAATTGACTGAAACTCATAGCATCATAGGTACTCCAAACATGATAGAATACATTTCTAGTAAAATCAGATTTTTAAATGTTAAGAAACGCGCTCAAATATTGACTTAAAATTGAAAAAATAACACATCATCGATAAAAAAAAACACATTGATGCAAACATTTATATTATTTTGTTTGCTTAAGTTGAATTTATTATTTAATTATACATAGAAAACATAATAATAACCAACTTTACAAATTTTTTTAATAAAAATAAATATAATTTTAATAAACTCTTTATCAACTGGTTTAAACCTATTCGAAATTTGTACTCTCCTTTCAAAATTTTCTTATAGCGGTTACGGTTCGAGAAATCATAGCGATATTCGCTGTCATACCGTGACTATGGTATTATTTTATTGAACCCATGCATCCATCTTTGTCAAGCATAACTTATCAAAATAAATAGTATAATATCTTAATAAAATGACGAATTTAGGAGATTTCTTTCTTTCTTTCTTTCTTTGGCAGCGTATAATTTTATTTTAAATTTTGCAAAAATTAATTTAGCTCTATATACATCATTTAAAATTTTGATTTTAAAATATGAAAATTTTATATCTAAAATAATTCACATTAAACGAACTTCATTATAACCTCATAATTTCTACAATTATATTATATTTTTTTACATATTCAAGAAGATTTCTCACAAAATTTGGCTATCGAAACATTGAACGAATTTGATTGGTGCTTAAATCAATTGGAAAATTTGCAAACCCATCGTTCCGTTAGCGAAATGGCTTCAACAAAAGTAAAAACTTATTAATAATTACTCTTATTTAATATACATATTTCCATCATGTTAACTTCCGGTGGTAAACGTCATGGTTTTAAAGAAATGGGGGCCAAAAATTTGGCATGCATCTTCAGGGGTCTCTAATGTGTCACAGAACATTTTTTCAAAGGGGGTTTTAAAACGAATTGCTTGCAAATATCTTTCAGATTTTTTAAAAATTAATCGTATTCTCATTCGTTCACATATAATATTAAATCAATTAAGCCAGGGCATTATTTTATATTTATAATTTGTTTGAAAAATTTTAGTAACATTTATACGGAATAAATGATGCATAATATATACATTTAAGAATGTTTTAAATCAGAGACCTGCAGAGGTACTATTTGCATGGCCCTGCCCGGATTTTTTTAAAAATATATTTGCCCACCCGGATTGGTTCAGGTTTTATATTTTCAGGTTCGGTCCTACCCGGATTTTTTTAAAGAAAAAATTTCAGGCTTGGCCATGATTTTTTTTCTTTAAAAATATTTTATATTTAATTTATATAGCTAATAATGACTATTTAAATATCTGGTTCGGGTATTTAAAATAAATATTTTAGGCCCGGCAGGGTATATTCCAAACAATTAGCACGGGCCGGGCCTGCAGGTTTCTGCTTTAAATTAATCTTTTATATCTTCTTCTTTTTTTTCAAACAAAAAAAAAGTTTAAAAAAATGTTGAACGAAGAACTCACGCAGTTAGCGCAGAATGATAAAGAAGGAAACGAAGTGACGGAATATTTATATTCCAATTTTTTAGGTAAATCGTTATAATTTTTTTAAATTATTAATTCTAATTTGACCATTTTTTTTCTGCCATCATTGAGGTATACCGAGATAGAGAATTCAATTTAAAGTCGATTTTATTCTATCAATGAGTTGCGTTAAGAGAATTCCTATAAATTTCTAACAACGGATAAACCAATATTACCATATGCTTTAGAATCTTTTTTTAGTATATATGTTGTAATTTTAAAACTTTTTAGTTATTTTAATATCTTATAATTTTAAGATAAAGATCAAGATTACATAGAAAACCATCAGGACGAGGCTGCTGACAAAAAATTATCTCCGCAATCGCTCAAGGACTCTTTCGCTTCCCTTCACCTCAATGACAAGATAGTCTCGGGCTCAGAGAAAATTTTTGGAAATTTAAACCAAACACGCAAAGTCACACCTGATAACAACAGGATATTGCAAAAATACAAAACAAGCGAAGAACTATTAGCTGCTTTGGATAAAAGCTGGGACAAATTAAAAGATAAGAATGTAGATAAAAATAATAAATCACATTCTCTTAACGATTGGGATATTTCTGGTGCTAACAATCATAATAACATATCCTACGATTCGTCTCTCCATACCCTTACTAGGCGCGATAGCATGACGGGACATAATTCGCTACACATGAAGTATGACAGAGAAAATTCTTCCAAAACATTTAACGTCATTTCTTCCATCATGGGATTCAATCCTATTTGCATCAAAATTCACGACTTCAAAAACGGAATCCCAAAATACGGCATCCGCGTAGACAACGAAGAATTACTAGAAGAAGTTTGTTTTAAGAATTAATTTTTTTGCGCGCTAACGATGAATGCAGAGTTATAGTTATCTATATCCACATTTTTGCAAAATGCTTTATTTAAAAAAATAAAATAAATGCTTATTTATCCACAATAAAAATGTTAAAATATAATTGAGAATAATTCACTTATATTTTGCATTATTACATTGTGATTTCCTATTTAAGATTTAACAATTTTTTAAAAATGGATGCAGAACACAATAATATTTAGCCGATTATATACAGTAATTTAGTTAAATATTGTTATATAATTATAAATTAAACCACTATTGAGTAAATTTCTCTATCACGTCACTGGCTTTTCTTGAATGGGGGAGGGTACTTGATAAGAGTTAAGATGCCCAAAGATTCGGTAAATTATAAATTTTCTAATATTTTATCATACAATTTGCGATATTCATAGCAACTTCAAAACGTAGACAAATGGGGCATGGATATTTTTAAGCTCAATAATGTAACATCCCACAGGCCATTAACATGCTTAACCTATACAATTTTCAAAGTAAAATAAAAAATTATAGCTTTTAAATTTCTTAAATAAAATTAAAAAATCTTAAAATTATTCAAGAAACGAAATTTGATAGACATTTTCAAAATACCCGTTTCCAATCTATTAAACTTTATCATGTGCGTCGAAGATCATTATTTGAGCATTCCTTACCACAACCGTATACACGCCACTGACGTCACTCAATCGACTCACATATTATTATCGAGTTCAGCCTTTAAAGTAAAATAAGCATCCATTTATTCCATATTCTATTTTTTCTGAATAGTTATGAATGCACTCCCCTGATCCTTCCTATCAATTTTTTTTCTTCTTGGGAGCCCTAGGGGCCCTACTGATTGTCGTTATGCCATTACTTAAATGATTTAAATAAATCAGTTATTTAAAAAAAAAAAATTTAGGCCCGTCCTGAGTATTTAAAAAAATTTCCCTTAGACCCGGCCTGGGTATATTTAAAAAAAATTAAAATACGGCTCGGTCCACCCGGGCCAGGCTTAGGGCTGGACATCCAGGTTTCTGATATATATATATATATATAGGTAAAGAAATAGCGATTCTAGTAACATATATTATTGATAAATTGATTTTTTCATGGAAATCTTCTAGTGGCAACTTACTAATTAATCTTGTAAATTTTTAAAATGTTTTCTAAATATTGCGATAAAAAAAAATGAGCAAATTTTTTTTTTACTTAAAATAATGCTTATTAGAACATCTTTAACGATCTAGAAATATTCGCCATCATAATCGCTAGCGCCATACACGATGTCGATCATCCTGGTTACACCAATCAATTCCTAATTAACTCCTGTAAGGATATTTTTTAGATTATTCTATTTTCACGCTTTCCCTTAATGAAAATCGTTTTATTTTTCGTCTAAGAATCAAATTTTATATTTTTTATCGAATAAACTTAAAACTTGGAAATTTCAAATTTATTTTCTCCAATGTTGCACTTTATATGGTAGAATTATTTTAGATGTTTTGAATATAAATTTTTCCATCAGAAACTAAATCATTGTTTACGATATATATTTTAAACTTACCCCCCTATTTTTTTTTATATAAAGGCTCCGACTTAGCAATCATATATAACGACGAAGCAGTACTAGAAAATCATCATTTAGCTATTGCCTTTAAAATATTGCAGGAACCCAAATGTGATATATTCGTTAATTTAAATACTAAAAAGAAATCAATCCTGCGCAAACTTATTATTGATTTGGTAAGACATTTTTTTGAAAAATCATTTTTTTAATATCAATAGGAAATTATTAAGTGTTAAAAAAATAGATACAAATAAGTATATATATGTATCGTATTGGGATATGGAATCTTTGGATTCTCTCAATTTTAAATCAATCACTAAGGGCTATTTTAAAAATTGTAATTTGACTGGAAATATATTTTCAGCATGCATACAATTCCCGCAGTGTAAATTTCTTAAACTTTTGCTAGGAATTTTTGAAATAATTCATATAAAGTTTTCATATATAAAAAAAATACAGTTAATAGAAGAAATTGTCAGAAATTTCCAAGGTTATAATCTAAGTTAAATGATTTAAAATAAAAAGATTCTGAATCCCTATTCATTATTCCAAATACGAAAGAATATATGCATGGATGTTACTTGCAAAGTAATAAAGTGAACTTATAAATAAATAATATACTAAAATATCTTATAGGTTTTAGCGACCGATATGTCAAAACACATGAAGGTATTGGCAGATCTCAAAACGATGGTGGAAACTAAAAAAATATCTGGGTCTGGAGATTTGGCCTTAGAAAGTTACGCCGAAAAAAATCAAGTTTAAAAATATATTTGAATTTGAATTTTCTAAAATGAAAACCTTTTAAATATTGGTAAATGCTTTCTTATGGTTTCCGGATAAAAATTTGCAGTTTATAATATATTCCAATTCATATATTTCCATTCAAAATTTGACCCCATAGATCTTGCAAGCTATGATTCATTGTGGAGATCTTAGCAATCCTACCAAATCTTTGAATCTCTACAAAAAATGGACCAGTCTAATTATGGAAGAATATTTTCTGCAAGGAGAGAAAGAAAAACAATGTGGTTTGGCCATAAGTGCGATGTGCGACCGAGAGACTGCATCCGTTGAAAAAACCCAAGTGCTTATTTTAAACATTTCCAACTATTTTCGCTATTAGATTTTGTGTAATTTTCAATTTATATGAAGAAATCTATATGAAAATGAATAAAAATTAAGTGTAGTTTAAACACGGTGTTAGTTTTTTATAGCTACTGGAAAATATTTCTGGTCAAATCAGATTTTTCCAATTTATAAATCCTTCAGTAATTGATTTAAAATTGAGAGACCGAATCCCCATGGGGTTTCAGTATCCCAAATACGTCATATATATTTTTGTAAATTTTAATGCGAAATCAGAATACATTTATATTTAAAAAAAATTATCGGATGATACATGTTTATTCAGTATTATATCGATTTGACCAAATTTAAATTATAGGAACTGCGATATCTTCTCATAATTAAAATATTACAACGTATCCGATACCTTTTTTGAAGGCATCTGCGAGGGTTGTCGAAAACCTCTTGGGATTTTATAATAAGAAGCTAAAACTTTTTTCCATCTATATTCGAAATCTCGAGACTTTATTCTTTTTCTTGATTTAGCTCTTTATAAAAATAATCTTTTAAATCAAGATTTTTTGACAATACTACATGGAATGATCTAAAACCCATAAATGTTTATCTAATTGATATTATTCAATATTTATATAAAATATAAAAATTGAAGATCGGTTTTATGGATTACATAGTACAACCGTTGTGGGAAACCTGGGCCGATTTGGTATACCCCGATTGTCAGTGCATGTTACAAAATTTGGAGACCAATCGAGAATATTTCGAAAATTTGTTATTCGAAAAAGAAGCCGATAAAATCAAAACACTGTCTTCGACCCCTTTCCACTCCGCGGAAGAATTACACAGCGAAACGTGATATAGACGTCGGCAATAACCGTTGTTATTTGACATATTTATACAATATCCATCCATTCATCGATTTTTTTTATGAAATTATGATGTAAACTTTAAACACACAATTGTTGTTTTATTTTGTTTTTATTATCGGAAGGATTCAAAGATGATTGAAGATTCACAGTATTATGGTTTTGTAATAAATGTAAATAATTATCATTTTTATATTAGGAATAAAGAGTAATTGTAAATAATTAACGACTTCTTCGTTTTGATTCATATCGTTTTTGAGCTTTTGATTTAATTTAGAAATCAGGTCGGTAAATAGCCTCATACTTTATAAAAAATATAAATAAAATTTTAGGCAACTCATAGTCAAATAGTTTGTCAAAATATTTAAAATAATTAAATGTTTTAAAAAGATTATTTTTACTTTAATATTTTATTTATTATTATCATATGAATAAAGGGTAGTAGTATTAATTTATAACAATGTTAATCATTTTAATTAATTTTTAATAAAATGAAAATAAATAATAATTCCTTAAATTATAGAATGCAATAGCTATTAGTTCATTTTATAAAACGTGGAATATATGGTTCCACTGGCAGAATTCAAATAACTAATACTAAAGCAAAGGTTTATTTTATTGAATTTAAAATTATATCAAAATGTTTCGTATAAAAATAATAATAATAGAATTATTTTGCTTGATTTCACCTAAACCGTGCATGAACTTTTAAATTTTCTTAAAACCTTTATCGACTTTTTTTAAATTATTTTTTACACATTCTCTTTTAAAACAATAATAAAACAAAACGTTATTAATTTATCAAATCTATAACATAAATCACTATATCCCTCTCTCATTTAATCATGATTACAACAAACATTGAGGCCATGTCCTGGTTCTTCTTATTTCTAAACAGTCCTCTCTCTGCTTAGCCGTCTTATATAACTTCCTCTAAAAAAAGTCTAAAAAGAGAGGGGCTTTAAATAACAAATAATATTTATATAATATATAAAAGCCGTAACAGAGTGTACTAGTTCAAAATCTGTTTAGCCTGCGCTAAAAAGAATTAAGTTTCCAAATTAGAACGAACCAGGGGCCACCCTATAACTCGATTAAAAATAAAATAGTTTTGCGAAGTACAAAGTTAGTCCCTAAAATACACAAATTAGCTTGTTTTTAAGTTAAAATCCTGCAATATCTCCCTTTGTGCGAACAAACTGTTTGATATCTAGTGGGTAGAGATTGAATTAAAATCTGGCATTCTTCTTTTAGAAAATTTATTCACAATTCAATTTATTTACCCTTACCTCTTCGCTTCTAGGTCGAATATTCCTGAAAATCATTTTTTCGAAATTCCCCTAAATATTTTTGATTCAAAAGTACACTCAGCCAATTCCATTACTGTAATATATATTTTTAAAATATAATAAGAATTTTTTTTATGGATTTCAAATTGATAAATGCCATGTAAACATTGTCTCATAAACCACATTTCAGGATGAATTAAATGATAGAATCTGCAGATTTTCTAAACTAATTTAGAAATCCAATTGATCGAACTCATATATTTCTTAAACGTCTTATGAGCCTTTTAGTTTAAAAAAAATTTGCTTGAACCTCTAATTTAGGCACCTGCTTAAAAATTGAGACGATTTTTTGTAAAATATAAAAAGTTGGATAACTGTTTTGAGTAAGCTAGGATATACAAATTAATGGTTTCTTCTTTTAATACAAAATTAAAGATATTAAAGTTCGGATGTTTCAAAAAAAATCTTGACTCATTGCTGTAGCGTTGGATCATTGTAAATACATCCTAGATTTTTTATGTTCTTTTGCCAATTGTAATCTTTTTTTGACTTTTGGAGGCTTGAGAATGGCCTTGAAATAAATAAAAAAAATTTATTAGACTACCAAATTTACAATTCCATTTGATATTTCATTAAAAGTTAAAATCTTATATTCACCCGCTATACCCTTCCAAGATCTAGTCTTAGTTGTTACTGAGTGTCTTTCTTCCTTTTTGCATGAATATTTTTTTTAAGCCATTCTTTTATTACAAATTGACAAATATTTTCAAATGGAAATGCCTTTATCATGTTCTTTCATAATTCGCCATATTTTTCCTTATTATAGGAATGGATATATTTCTTTTAATAATCCAAATCAAAATATTTTATTTTAAAAGAGGATTATTAATAAACATGAACGGTTAAAATGTTTCATCTGATTAAAGCTGCAAAAGGAGAATTTTGATTTATGTCTAAAACATATAAAAAGATATTTTCTATTTAAAATAAACCGTAATCAATAGTTTATACATTATATGGAATTAAATTTTAAAAAAATTGTCAAAAAGGTAAAGAATTATATAAATATACAAGTGTCTAAATGGGCATCCTTCTTATCTATTGATCATTTCTTTACGTTCCCTTTATTGTTTCGATTAGTTTATATATTTAAAAAGCAATAAATATAAGTCGAAATTGCTAATATTTAGTTAAATAAGATAATAAAGTTATGTTCAAATTTTTTAACCACTTTAGCCTGGATTCTTAGTCATTCTATCCTGGGTACGGAATAAAATGACGAAAATGACACATTTCACGTATTAATTCATAGGTCCCTATTTTTTTTATTTTTTTTGTAGATAAGCTATTGGGCTACATGTAAATCTATAATTTGTTTATTTTTGTCTTAAATCAAAAATCCATAAATCCAATCATTTTATCTCGGTTTCCCTTATAATGAAAATAATCTTTCTAACATATATTATATTTTCAAAAAATATTTTCTTTGTAAGAATATTTTTTGGTGAACGACTTGATTATGGGTAATTATGTCTTATTGGGATACGGAATCAATGAGGATTTGTAATATCTCCATTTTAAATAATTTATTTGCCGTGAAATTTAGAATTATTCCTAATTTTAAATTTTACATATAAATTAAGAATACAAGTTTAGCGAAAATTGTTTGAAATTAATAGGGTAATACTCTGAATATGCTGGGATACATTTCCGGTTAAATCCGATTTTAGAAATTAAGGTCTCGGTAAATGATTCAAATTGAAGAAAATCCATGTTCCAATTTGACACATAGTATATTAATTGAGATCTATGATTTATATCAAAGATATTTAAACTATTTCAATTGCATTTGTTTTCTATTCTATCGTCTACATCTTTTCTATAATATTATTTGTTATCATTTGCATATTAGAATTTGTATTGAGAATTAAGAATGATTAACAATTTCGGAAATTTAAACTCGTTACTAGCAAATATTGCAATAATTCAGAAATTTTTCGCATAAATTTTTTTGATTTTATATACTATAATTCTTTATTAATTATTTTTTAGATAATAAATCAATATATGGGGCATTAATTTATAATTCATTTTATGCATAAATATTAAGCGTTTTAAAAAATCCTACCCTCTTCATAAGACATGAATAGTTTTTGAGATTTTTATTTTACATTATAGTGGCATACTTAATATGATATTAACCCCCATATTCCACATACCACCTTTGCATGTATCGAATATATATTAATTCCAATAACGCAAGAACATATAAAACCTTTCACATTATTTAATATATTTTAACCCCATTAGCCCGTCCAGGCCTTTACATATCTAATAACTAATAAATTCACCTTAATAAATTTCAAATGACAATTCTCAAAATTATTTATTTTATACAACAATAACATCACAAAATTATTTCTAAATGTCGTAGAATTTAATTGTCTTATAAAGACTGAAAAACAATCTATAACATCATAGCATAATTAACTTTCGTATGTTATACTTTATTATGTGTATAATTCCAATTGCGTTGTTGGGAGTAAGATTTATATATACTAATTATATTTATTAACATAATTTTATCATAATCAGGTATTAATATTTTGCATATCTTTTACTATATAAATCAAAATTATTTAAGCACGGTTAAATATTCTTCCCTCTATATTTATATAGTCTAATTAACTCATCTATTCTACAATTATATTAACGCTTTAATAAATGGGGCATGTAATATTGATAATAAAAAGCTATGAATATAATGTAATGAAATTAATATCTTAATAAAAATAGGCTTAGTAATAAGATACTATCTTAAAATTATTCTGACAAATTAGAATTTCTGCTTGCTTATATTCTTGTCCTCTGCTAAATCGTATAAGTTCGCATCCAATTTTTCTTTTATTTAGACCTTCTTTTACTTTGCCTCCGACTTTTAGCCTTTTCCAATATATCCAGCTTCTTTCCTCTTCAAACTTGACCAATATTTTAACATCTGGAGAAATTTTTAAGGTTTATAAGAATGTCTTCTCTCCATACATGCTGTCATAGTCAGAGTCAAAATTTTTAATGGTAGGGGTCGGTAAGATTTTAGTCTAGAAGAGATATATTTTTAATATCAAATGTGTTTTTTTAATAGTCAAAGTAAAGGTTTTCTATTTATTATGAGAGTGTAATTCCCACTTTTGAAAAAATACGCCTCAACTTCGCAAAATGGAATGAGTCTAATTTATATTGGTTTAGATATCTTAAATTATTATCGTTTTCTGCAATCTTATACCTATTTAATCTCTAATAGTAGATATTAAATAAAATTAAAATGTAGAGTAATGAGAGTGAGAGTTCTTTTCGATTTTAAATAAAATAATAAATTATTCCGGTATAATATCGTTGCTTTACTAATTGAATATTAGTGTAAATCAGTTAAAAGTGAATGCCATTTTTTAAATAAATTCAACCGGTAAAATTTACTTCAACTTTGAAAAATCGCCTTATAGAGTTATATAATTGTTTATAGTCATCAAAATATCCCAAAGAATTGAAAATTTTATAATGAACAAGTGTAAAACAATGTACGAAAATAAGTTTGTTCTGGAGCATAATATTTGAATTAGTGAGAATTTGTAAATATTAAAATTTTAGCACTTTCATCATTGAAAAGGCTAAAATCCATCTGCTTATAGTATACTTAGAAAAGACCCTCAAGGACCTTGATTGTTTTAGCTCGGCCCAAGCCCGTAAGAAAAATTTAAAGGCCCAGACCCAACCCAGCCCGGCCCGATTTAATATTAAAAAAATCCCAAGCCCAGCTCAAAAGTTTCAAAAATATTTCCCAAGCCCATGAAATCATTTTATATATAGTTATGCTGAAATAATATTAATGGAAATAAAATATTTCTATTTAACAATTA